TAAAACAGCAGCAAGCAACAAACAAACAAACAAACAAACAAACAAACAATTCAATTAAACAATAGTAATTAAATGAATACAACACTACTCTTACTACAAAACTTAAATAGACACAGTTATAGAAATAGCCACAACAATTAACTTTAAAACCAACAAACCAACCAACACTAGAAATACAAGACAGACAGACAAACACACAACAGATTTTAAAACAGTTTTTTAACCATAGCCATAACTAATACAATAGCCACATAATTAGAGTTTTCATAGCCAACAAGCATTACAATAGACAAGCCGATTTAATACCAGAAATAGAGTGACAGAGAGAGAGAGAGAGAGGGGGGGAGATGGAGTGGGAGTAAGAGAAAAAAGAAGCAGCGCTAATTCGAAGGGAGTGTTGCGCATGCGCAACATGTACCGATACAATTGATAAGAAGAAAGCAAAGAATCGAATAAACAATTTTTATTTCAATTATCAACAACTCATCACACTCACAGTTACAAAACAAAACAACAATAGCCCTAGTAAAAAAAAAAAAACAAACGAAATACTTAACATATTAATCAACAGCAATAGAATTAAGCAATTGGCAACAGAAAAGGCAAACATAATATACGACTAATATGTATAACTAAGAAAACTTTGTAACTTAACAAATGTTGCAACTTGCATTCAACATTTAACTAGCTTTTGTTCAGCAACTAAACGTAAAATAGTGTTTCTCGTTTTTAACCAACAACAATTTTCAGTTCTGAAAGAAAGTTGAAAGTCAACAACAACAACAACAAACTGATGTAAGTACAATATTTAGATTTCGGTAAAAAACTACAAAAACAACAACAACTACATACAGCAAACTGAGCAAAATATATTTTGCATTTAACTTACTTATGGCATTACATACAAATTATAAAGAAATCGACTTTTTTTGTGTAGTCAGAAAAGACAGAAATGAAATTTGTTTTCACAGCCAATAAGCATATAAAAAACGCATTATAATTAGCAATAGCCCATAAGTTTAATAATGAAATCGTATTTAGCATTAAAAACACATCAACAAACAAAAACAAAACAGCAAAGAAACAAAAAACTTTTTAATAAATACAACAACAAAGCATGCAACAAGCAACAATTTCTATAGCTTTTGCTTCTGTAAATCGTTTTGTTATGTTAAATATTATTAAATATACACATTGTTTAGCCAACCAATGTTAAAAACAAATGAAAAAGAAGATGAAGAAGATATGATGTACTTTTTATGAAGGCATAATATAATTTTAGGAATTTATTTAAACAAAACAAAATCATTTAATTCGGCTTAGTATTTTTACAAAACATTTTAAGTGACATTTAAACATTTAATTAATATTATAATTTGTTTAGAACTATACGGATCGTGCATAATTGTTTTTTATGTATACTATACACACCATAATTATGTTAAACATGAAATTATTATAAACAAAAATTTTCATTTTCGTTATTTCTATTATTATTATTTACTTCTTATTGTGTTTTAAAAGCAAAAAATCGATTTATATATATACATATATATACAATATATTTACGCAGCAAACGTTTATTAATAAAACAAACTATTTTAGTTACAAAATGCCACTTATGATTCATTTATTTTTTATTTTCCAACACACACCCCTCCCCCCTCCCATTTCCAACAAACAAACAACCAAAACAAATGTATAAAAAAAATAAAGCAAAACAAAAAAAATATAAAGACGCACTTTAAAATGCTACAATTATTACCATATTATGCAATAGTAATCAATTAAAACAAATTATAACTTAAAAATAAACAATAGCCCAAAGTAAATATTGACCGTGATGGAGCCGACTACAAATACAAATAAAAGGTAACCCCAACTTCGGCATGCCGAATATTTATGCCCTTGCAAGCATTGCGGATTGATATCTCTCCAATATCTGCATTACATAGTTGACCGATTTACATAACATAAAACAATTGCTATTTGTTTTCTTATCCGGAAAATTGTCCGAAAGTTCGAATCTACTCTTTGCTGCCTTTATTGCAGTTAAAGACACTAGCTAGAAGAGTTACGAATACAAATACTTCACTCGTAATAATATTTAATGTCTGATTCTACTTACCGAAAGACAAAACTTATTAATGCGTGGAAAAGCGGAACGGAAAACTAGAGTCAGGGGATTCGGTCGATTATAATGAAAATTATTAATTGGATTGCACTTAGTTTTCCAAATCTCTCCAAAGGAATGATCAGAATGATCAAAATTGTAAATCCCAAATACTAAGGTTAAAATGCCCTTTTGCAAGAGTATGAATAAAACTCTAACGCGGCCATTATTTGCTCCATTTTCACATTTGAAGGCAAATCGAGCGGAGAGCATGAAATTGGCAACCGAAGAAGGAAAACAACAACAGCAACAACAATAACAACAACAACAAATAAAAGCAACATTGGCACTACAATACACGAATTTTGAAAATTACGATATTTTCTGTTCTTATGTACTACTTACTACCTATGTTCTCTAACCAGTTTTAATTTAGTTAGAAAATAAGACTTTTGACCAGATTTGGCGTTTTTGGCTCGCCCACTTAACACAATTTTGAGGAAACCACTTGTGGTTATTGCAAATTCCAGACCAGGCGAATACAACAACAATCGAATCAAATCAAATCAGCAAGCACTACTCGAACACACATATATTTCTAAAACTCAAGCTTCAGGGACCAACAAAAAATATTTAATTAACTGGAAAGTCAAGTTAAAAATCAAAAGAGAGAAACAATCTACAGAAAGTATGTGTAGACAAATTTTCGACGCATATCCCTCGGAATCCACAAAATCACTAGAACCAAAAAAAAATAAATAAATAAATAAAGCTTACTGAAAAAGAGAATACTTGTAGACATTCTCGTTCATGTCTAGCAAAAGGGAACTATTTCATACGGCGTAGGCAGACATTACCAGTATTTCGAAATTCGACATGTAAAAGTTGTTTTATGTATAGAAACAAAACCCCAATGTATATGTACATAAAAACCTTTTGGTAACACATATTTACGAATACATTACGAGTAAGGCAAGGCGAAATAATTCAAAACATTTCAGGCAAGCCAGCAGACGAGTAGTTTCGGGAATAAGAAAAGATTGTATACGATACGAAAAAAACGGAAGAAAGCTAAACTTAAATTTATATTAAGTGTAAAAAGGATACTACAAAATAATTCATATGATATATTTGGCTGATATCGTACTATATGTAAAAATTTGTCAGCGGCAAAAAGTCTAAACAGAATCAAAATTTAACTCAATAAGGAATTATGATTTGGTGTAGTTTTCGTGTAAATAAAAAACCAAAAACAAAAAATAAAAATAAAAATCAGCTAAGCGCACTAACAAAATTCCACAAACACATAAACACCCACACATACACATACACATATACATACATACATGCTAAGTGGGTTTTCTATGGCAAGAATAAAATTACGAGAAACCAAACCAACCAAAAGAATACAAAAATCTCGTTAAGTAATAATAAAACAACAGAAACAACAACAACAACAAATTAGCAAAATTTTGTCGTCTTAGTAAATGCTAAATTCAAATGTGTAGTATATTTATATATTTATGTATGCATATGTTCTATGTACGTGCGTATACGCATATTAATTATTATTATACATTATTATTATGGTCACCACTGTGGGGTGACGTGCGTACGAGTCTTATTTGTACTTAGTTATGTTCGTGAAAAACTAAACAAAAACATTTAAGCCAACCAACAACAACAACAACAACATCAACGTGCTGAAATTCAATTGAATTGCAATTGGAACACCAACAAGAACAACAACAAGAACGTTTATTTTGCTTTAAAAATGTTTAACAAAAACATGGCAAAAACCATTGTAAAAAAGTATAAAATAATATACAAAGAGGCGAAGATGAAATATTTGTGTACATGTGAAAAAATATATATCAGGAGTAATGGAAAAAAATACCAACTAAAAGACACAACTATTAACTTGTAATGATGTGAACTTGGAGCATACTCTCAGTATTTTTAATAATACTGTCAATAAAAATTAAATAAATCATAAAACCAGTGCAGTCAATAAATTATTTCTTCAAGGTTTCATTGTTTTCACAGCATTTGAGATCTGACCGGAAGCGATCAGACGATCCCTGTTGAGTTCTACATGTCGTTGGGTGTAAAGACGTTAACAAGGGATTCCAACACTTACAGCAAAGTTAATAACTTATGGGATTTTGTCCTTTCACCAGCCTGTCTGAATATCTATAGGACGTATCTGATTGCACCAACTACTATTGTGCCTCTGGGACATGCTCTATGCACACTCCAAAGGCGATGTTTGACTTTGTAAGCTCCAGCGACCAACATTTTTACTACAAATTTGTTAATGTATGATCGGATATCAATTCGTCCCTGCTCTGCTAGGTGGACATTAAGAGGCCAAATCCAGGCAAATTAAACATAAGTACTTCTAGAAGACTAGAAAAGACTCGAATTTCCGTGCGGACTAGAATTGCTGCCCCCATTATTCCCATTATTTCCAGGAGCCATAATTCCACTTAGTCATAATTATACACTATATACACTACATATATATGTATATAAAATCTGGATCCATTAAACTGTTTCGAATCCTAAAAAAAAACGACAATTGAATTCCCATTCCCATTATTCTCATTATTTCCAGCAGCCATAATTATACACTAAATACTATATACACTATATATATATACATATATATATATAAATATATATAAAATCTGGGTGCATTAAACTGTTTCGAATCCTAAAAAAAGACGGCAATTGAATTTGCTTTAAAATGTAAGTATGTGGGAAGATGTTGCATATAAAGATTGTGTTGGCTTTGGGAATTTGTTGTTTTTACAAGTCTCAGATAGCTTTCGGTAAACTATCAAAATTTTAAATATTATTCTCTCTTAAACATCCCCGCCTTCAGATGGTAAACACAAAAACTACGTAAAAAATTAAAAATTTTAAAAAGCAGCAAAAAACTTGCAGCAATACTTCAAAAAAAAAAAAAAAACCTAATGACAGTCAAGCGCTTTAAGTGCGACCTCAGTCCCGAGGCCCCCACAAGTCTCAAAATCGATGATACCAATCGGTTCGATTGTTGTCATGTTCACGATCGCATACCGTACGATGCCGAGTGCTTTCTCAAGGATGTCTCAAAGGAACTCAATATGCTATACCGACGCCACAGCAGAATGATTGAGAAACGCAAACGCCTTATGGAGCTGGCATTACCGGTGCGTCGTTGGTGCCGCTTTGTTCCCAGATGCCCATGTCGATTTGAGAAGTCAATTGAAATGGTGCCAGCCGATCCCCCAATACACACACGCACCGAACAACTGGCGCTACCGCTGATCCGGTACGTTCCTCCCTTTTTCAAATTCTGAAGCCTCATCTAGCATTTATGTATGTCACTTCTACAGACGCCTACAGGTTCGAAGAGCTGATGCTCTGGTCAAAGGCGACAAGATTACTGAGGTGATATTGAATCGCTGGCTACGCAACAGTTATCTCTCGCTATACAGTCGCTTAAGCAACACACAGCCCATGAAAAAACCGTAAGTCTAAGCGGAGAGTGGCATCTATGTACTATACATCCATCATGCGTTTTTTACCTCCACATTTTCAGTCCCAAACCCAAAAAACAGAGCAAAAAACAAAAAGCGCGTCACGCCAAATACATTGAAACGCTGGCCAAGCCCAAACAAATTCCGAAGCCCGCGAAGCCGGTAAGTTAAGCAAATAGCCAAGCAGCCATCCAGGTTGCCCCGAATAACAACGAATAACACCCTACAACGCCCTATAGGAGCGCAATGTTGGCGAAATGGATAAGAAGCGTCTCAAAAAGCTGGCGCGTCCGAAGAAACGTATCGAGGATATCAAACAACCATGGGAATTCACGAAAGCATTGAAAACCTACAAACCAACTGCTCGCATCCTAGCTATCGCCAAGCCCCTAATACGTGAAAATTTTCACATTAATGAGGAGCCTGAGAAAGTCTCGCGCAATGCCCTCAAATACAAAGGTAAACGCTAATTTTTCAAAAGTAGGTTTTGATTTATACATTTTTGTTCATTCTATTCACAGCCTCTCCACGTGTTAAAGAGATGGCGCAACCATTAAAGGTGTTCGATCGTAACGCTGGTGCCGCTGAGACAGCTGATGACCCGTTCACGATATCCCCAAATGCACTCAAGTACAAGGCAACGTCACGTATCAAGGAACTGGCCGAACCAAAGGAGTTCGAAAACACGCACATTCGCGAAAATCCTTTCGCCATCTCCCCAGCTGCACTCAAGGCCAAGGCCTCACCTCGCCTCATCGAATTGGCCAAACCGAAGGGTGGTTAACAACTCATTGTCTAATTTTCAGTTTTGGATATATATTTGGCTATTTTCTCTTTTGGTCTTTTTGCATTGTTTTGGCTAATATAAGTAGTATGTATATGTAAATAAAAAGTTTTATAAAAAATGACACTGTGAAGTGATCTTTGGGCCAAGAATGGAACACAATTTAGTAAGATAATATCAAGATCGCCCTGTTTACACTGCAAAAATATATGAAAAGTCCTTATGATGCAGTCCATGCGATCAGTAGATGGTCCACTGAAGGTGGCTTCCGTAGCTTGTTCGATACTGCTTCTGAATTTCTATCAAGTAATGAGACCACGTATAATTAGTAATCATTAATCACTAATCGAAATTACCTGGGGACGGCGCTCATCGATACATAAAAGATCACCATGGCGAGACGAATCGATATAACCATGCAAGGCTACCCGTACACTAATAGAAAAATGGTGCTCCGAAGTATTATATTTCTCGAATTGTACTTTCAAGTACGATTTCCACATGTGTGTGTAATTCGTAATTCGAGCGCAATGCAGACTAATCAAATCTTAATGTCAATATCAATAATCCCATTTCAAAAAGATAATAATAAAAAAAAAACTCGTCCTTTCTCTGACCTAGGGGAATCTGGATGCCAACTTTGGTTATTCTAGCTTTTATAGTTTCTGAGATCCTTGCGTTCATCCAGACGGACAGACGGACGGACAGACGGACGGACAGACAGACGGACAGGCGGACGGACATGTCTAGATCGATTTCTCTCGTCATGCTGATTCAGAATATATAGATGCTTCCTTCTGCATGTTACATACTTTGCACAAACCTAATATACCCTTTTTACCCTACGGGTACAGGGTATAATTATACTTAAATGAGAAGCATCATTTATATTTTATATTCCAAGTATGTATAATAAATAACCCTTAACGAAAGTTTCTCGCGAAAACCAAATCTAAATCAATTTTATTGCAGAATTGTTTACTAAATAAAGCCGGGATTAAAACAGTCTATAATCAATAGTTTGATAAATAGTCTCAAATCAAGATTTTTGGTCTTGGTATTAGAACTTTCGAGCAGTCAAGTAGAATAGACCGATTTTGCAATTGATTCTTTCTCTCTTTTTTAAACTTTTCGTACCGAATTTTGTATGCATTGAATAACCCATAAAATGCAATTTATGAGAGCGGAATTGAACAAATTTGTTGTAGGGCCATAATGGATGGCTTCTAAAATATACAGAAGTTGTAGGGAGGGGGCCCAGAACTTTGTGAAAACCTCCGCATCGCTTCTCTAATATTTATGTACTATATGTACATTTTGTACAAATTACTTTATTTCTTTCTTTGATCTAATTAGAAATAAGTGTTAATACATAAATACATGTAAAAAGATCTCTTGACGAATACAAATGAAATTGTTTTCGGATTTAAATAATTTATTTATTGGTTTTTTCTCTCGTTCTTATATGGAGTTACGTGGTCTACGCTACACTTTGATTTGGTTTAAATATATTGAGTTTGCTTGTTGATACACATTGGTTTGGTAATCTTAACAAAATGAAACATAAGCTAAGAGTTGGCACCAAAAATACAATGTGTTTATGAGAAAAATACATAATACAAAAAATTTAAAATAATTTTCTTGGGTAAAATAATACAGAAATTTGAAAATAATAATGATAAGGACCAATCTGTAAAAGTAATGTGGTAGGTACATGGAATTTATAACTGCTGGATATGGGCATTGACTAAACTAAAATATTCGGCAGAAATAATACTCGATGGATGGCATTGAAACATAAGAGACGAACATACTGCGCACTAATGATAAACTAATAAGAAAGAAACTAAATCAACTTTTTAACAATACAATTTTGTAACAACACAACTGCCTATGGCCCGTCTTAATGTTTTTGTGTGTATTTGTGTAGGTAAGCTTGAGTCAGTAATTTATGGTTGTTGGCTATTGTGACTGTCCATTTACTAGCACGCTTAGTGCAGATTTGAAATGATGGCGCGTGTAAAGTCCTGCGTTGTTGATTGGCCGCCCAGATCCTTGGTGCGCACCTTGCCGTCCAAAAGCACCTTGTTGATGGCATTACTAATAACTTCGCTGTAGGTGTGCAAGTTGATGTGACGCAACAGTTTTGTGCCACACAATAGCATTGCCGTTGGGTTAGCCACGTTCTTGCCAACAGCCTCAGCGAAGGTATGACGTGCACCCTAAAAAACAAAATAACATGAGTTAAAAATCAGTCATTGATCAGTCTGAAGCGATCAAGTATTTACCGGCTCGAACACCACCGTCTCCGCTGAATACGAAGCGCCTGCAACGACGCCAGCGCCGCCCACTAAACCTGATGCTAAATTGTCTACAATGGCGCCATAGAGATTTGGCGTGACCATGACATCGAACTGGTTGGGGTTGGAAACCATTTGCATGGTTGTATTGTCCACAATCATCTTTTCGAATTGTATGCGGGGATAAAGTTTCGAGATTTCCTCGCACGACTTCAAAAACAAGCCATCGCCCAGCTTCATGATGTTGGCCTTATGCACAGCAGTCACCTTCTTGCGGTTATTCTTCGTAGCATAATCAAAGGCAAACTTGGCAATGCGCATCGATTTCTTGGCAGTAATAATCTTTAGGCACTCGACAATTCCAGGCACCGATTCGTGCTCCAGCGCAGAATATTCACCCTCAGTCTGTTCACGAATGATGACCGTATCGATGTTGGAGTGGCGCGTCTTTACACCAGGCAAGCTGCGAACATGCACAACGTTGGCATAGAGATCGAGATCCGTGCGCAGTTTCATGTTGAGCGTTTGCAGGTCACCGACATTGCTATAATCGGGAGTAGCCAAAATACCCTGCCAAAGAGGAGTTAATCGAATAAACAAATCCAAAAACTACACTGCGGTAGAATAGTTAGCAACACTAACCTTGATGCAGACTTTGTTCTTTTGGATTGACGCCACAACATCCTCGAGCTTGGCACTCAGCACAGGATTGATTTCCGACAGGAAGTACGATTCGAAGTCGACAGGGACATTAGCCGCCTTGAAGACCTCTTGTAGGGAATATACTAGCTCAGGACCTACACCATCGCCGGGTATGAGTGTGCAGGTGGTCCTGTTGCCACCATAATTGGAATCCTGCATTAGAATTCAAAACAGTGACGTATTACATCGAAAGGTCGCAACTATCTTTAACCAACTTTACATTAAACTTACATGGTTGAGGGCAGCCGTGGTGTGGAGACTACGCGCCGCTGCTGCCTAGTGATTAAAAATAATCATAATTAGTATTTACTCGCCAGGACTAAGCCCTATAACCTCAAAATTGGCACATCTGCGTGTCTTTGCACAGAACCGTGACTGCTCTGGCGGCTGCAGCCAACACGCAAGTGTTTATGTAAGCACAATATCTCGGAAATACGCTATACAGCCTGCCTCTCGTATTTACCTGCATAAATGTGCGTCCCACTGTTCTAGCCAGCATTGCCATGTTTCTTGGTTGCGTGTCCTTTGGGAAGTTGAGCTAGCGAGCAGTATAAACTAATTGTTAAATTTGAATTTTATAATTGAATTTTGCAAAAATTCAATCGGCCACCACGGGTAACAGCTGACTGCCACCTAGAGGTGGGCGATATTTAAATACCTATGCACCTCAATGGCTTAAGTCACAGTTCTGACGGTTTTTTGAAAATTATATATGACAAAAACTCAATCTTAAAGATAGCCTTGGCTAAAATGGCGTGCGGAAAACGTGTTATACGAAATGTGTTCCTGTAATTACTGACATACAAAAGCGTTAGTTACAGCCGTAGCAACCACTTCTGCTATTCTCTAGCACAGCAGTCAACAGTGTGCACACACCACTAAGTGCACAAAATATTCTATAGTTTGGCGCGCTACTGTTTGATCTTTAAATTCAGAAAGATCCATATACTTTTGTATTTTATGTAATTTGTAAGCGCAAATAGCAAATTGATAATCATGATCAATATATTTTTTTTATTTACCAGAAGGACTTTGAATTTCTGTTCATGTTTTTATTTTACATTCTTATACACTAGTTTTAGAAGATAGAATTTCAATTTGGTCCCACACATCAGTCAAAATTGCATTTTCCGATTTAAATCCAAAAATACCATGAGAGCTGCAGTATCTTTGTTCCGAAACCACCTCTCGCGCATTCATGCGGAGGCGTTGCCGAGGGAATACTACGGGTGGGAATCAGTATCCAAACAAATCTTATCAATCAATTACTCAACCCACCCACAGCGAAAGTACGATGCCCCGTTGTCGCTTCATGCAGTACACGCGCCCAATGGATGCCCAAAAGCGACTCGGTATGGTGTCTGAGGATGGCACAAAAATGGTTGAGCTCTCGAACATTACCTGCGCCGCACCAGACATGATACAGTTTATACATCAAAGATACTGCATGGACAGCCTGCTCGATAGTGTACAGTATATGGATGTGCAGGAGGTGGGGGAAGATGTGGTGCTGCTGCCACCGATCAATGCACCGAGCAAAATCATCGGCGTCGGCTGCAATTACCTCGACAGCTGCGATGAGCAGCACCAGTCTGTGCCCAGAGAGCCGGCCTTCTTTGTGAAGTTCAACACATCGATTATCGGCGCCCTGGACAACATACGGGCTCATAATATAGCCAAAGTAAGTGATCTCACGTAATCTTGTAGTATTTCACAGTACTTTGAAGGAGAACTTTTTCCTATCACCAGCGCATTGACTACGGTTGCCAGCTCGCCGTCGTCATTGGCAAGCAATGCCGTCATGTTCCGCGCATCTCAGCCATGTCCTGTGTGTTCGGTTACATGCTCGCCCAGGATATAACGGCGCGGGACTGGCAGGCACTCCTAGGCGGTCAAGTGATGTTGGGCAAATCACTTGACACTTTCTGCCCGTTGGGACCAGTTCTAGTGCACAAGATACACATGCCCGACGTAAACAACTTGTGGATCAAGACCTTTGTCAATGGCCAGGAACGACAAAGTGGCAGTACCCGAAACATGATATTCAAGATAGACTACCTCATACATCGCCTTACACAGTAAGTGGCTATATCAACAGATCTAACTAATAGGAGCTGTATGTAGTTGATACGGGAGAGTATATGAACATTCATATCTCTCTGTATTTCTGTTGATTATTTGAGAAAAATACATTTGTTGTTACTTTTGTGGCGTTCCGTTGTTTTCCCCAGATTCATGACGCTTTGCCCCGGCGACATTATCTTGACAGGAACACCTGCCGGTTCCGGAGCCTATCTCAAGCCTTCCACATTCCTTAAGCCCGGCGATCTCGTTGAGAGTGAAATACAAAATTTAGGTAAAATGCGAAATAAAGTGGTCAATCCGTATGCCTAAGCACCGTACACTCTTTTAATTAACCTGGCCTTTCTCTATTTTCATAAATATGTATATTATTTATAATTTGTATAATTGCAGCTAAAAGGAAATTTTACAAAAACGTTTTTTAATGATTCATGTTTGACTTTTTCTTGCACTTTTAAACAGAGAGAGAACTGCTATAACAAATTGTTCAGGATGATTTGAGTCTCCTGCTTAACCTTTTCTGTTTTGCGTTAAATTGGACAAAAATAAAATGTCGGGCAAATTAAAACGGATAAACGAGTAGGGAAACATAATCTACAAATACAACAAGCCACTGGCTGCGGCATGTGCCATTAGTGTGTTGGCCGCCTGCTGAGTCTCCAGCATGAGACGCGCCTCCTTCATCCACTCGCCGGCTATTTTGCGGGGCGCTCCTTCCAGCAGATTCAAGTACTTAAGCGCCTGCAGAAAATCGCTCCGCTCCACATGATACCTGTATAACGAAATAACATGAAGCTTGGACTTAAGATTTTAAGAATTAGAGTTTATCGCACCTGGCCCTGTTCAAAATGTCATAGGTGTCCAATTTACTAAAGTCAAAGGGTTTGTTCTCGAGCTCATCCTTGGAAATGGGATTATCCGGTCGCAAGATGAACAACGATTGCAGATAGGAAAGGAAATAGATGGGTAGACTCGCACCGTCTTCAGGCACCAGCGCCAAGCGACGCGCTATGCGCTCCACATTGACGAATCGTTCGCGTAAAGCATCCTCTGGATAAACACCACGCTCCTGAGCCTCCTTGGGCATGTTTTGCAAGACGGCAGCGACTAATTCATCGCCCTCTGCAAAAATATCATTAATATTGTCCCATGGAAATCAGAAATCCACTTACTTGCCACCTTGGCAATCGCGTTGATCTCGTTCTTAAGTGGACGCAGCTTATCCTTGTAGTGCACTCCAGGAGTGGCAGTGCGCACCGAAGCCCACAGAGCTTGGCAAGCGGCCCACAAGGCTTGCGCTTGATTGGCAGTACGTTCGGTTTCTGCACGTTCTGTGAGTAAATTATTAAGCTGTTAAGCAAAGGAACATCATAGATCTTTCAAATGAAACAGGAAATCAAACATGGTCTGATTTTAGCCGTAAAAACTATTGTCAGTAGAATGTGTTGGTCAATTGTCATCAAAATTAACATTTATGTAATGTAACTAAGAAATCATTTACAGTCTTAATGCTTTTGTCAAATAGATTTTCCTCGACCACTCGGCAGTAATAAATAGTAGTTAAATAAATGTCGGTTTAATTTCCTGCTACAAACCACAAGCGATACCTTTAAATTCCTGATCAATTTCTATACGAGCAGCATGTAGTTTTAAAAAGTTTAATTACAAAATAGCTAGCCAGGTTTAAGCTGCAATACTACTAGCTTTAAAGAACCCAAGTAACTCACCAGCTAGGGCAGCGTCCATGCCTCGCAATTTGCCCAGCATGGCAGCCAGCTGTAGCTTATAGTTGGCTTTCTCCGCTGCCAGCTTCTCTTCAAGCTCGCGCTTGAAAGTACGTGTAAGATCCGTTTCGCGTTGGGTAACAATGTCCTTGATGTGATCGGCATGCGCTTCAGCTTGCTTTTTTAATTGCAAACGCAGCTGCTTGTCGGCATCGGCATGGATTTGGAAAATCTTCTTTTGATTATCCACAGCCAGTTTGCGCTTCTCAGCCTCGAGGTGGTATTCCAGTTGAGCGCGTAGGGCTTCCGAATCGTTGTCACCGCGCACGGCATCAATAGCACGTTTTAGACGCAGCTCACCATCAGTTTGGAGACGCTGCAGCTCCTTCTGATAAGCTAGCACATGCGTGTAGGCATGCAGTATGAATAAATCAAGATCGTCCTTTGCCAAATCAAGTTTCTTTTCGGACAGGTTGAGGCCGGGGAATATGGATTCGATTTCGTCAATGAAATAGTTTCGAGCCTGCTCTACGCTACGCCAATATTTATCCGACACACTGGCCATATCTTTGTGTCTATAGAGCTCATCCTTTACAGAGCTGATGTGACCAACCAGTTTCTTGATTTTATTGCGCACCGCTTCGACATCATCGTGATTTTGCGCCGTTGCCACCTTACTCAACGCCACCTCACACTTTTCTGCAAGCAAAAAGAATCCACTTAAGATGCATGGAAATGGATATATTTATCTACTAACCAATCATAGATTGCGCATCTCGTGCTGAGCGCTCAGCCGTTGAGACTGCCGTGTCACGGGCACTCGTGCGGTTCTTCAATGTTGTCCATAGCGATGTGTCGGAATTCTCCACAGCCTTATCAACCACGCGACGCACATCCTCATTGAAACTGCCGATAAGTGTAAAGTCAAGATAGAGCCTTTTAATGCTTGTTCGGTGACTCACCTCTTTAATATGCTAATGGCCGTATTGTATTCCTTGAGCGCCAGCTGTGCGGATAGCTCAATAGCCTTCTCTAGTTCAAGAACGTCACGTGGCAGTGGCTCGGCCTTAGGCGCTGGCGATTTTGGCACAGCTACGGGGGTTGCTGCAGCCGGCTTGGCACCTTCTTTCTTTTCTGCGATTTTTTCGGATGCCGGCGCCTTCACCGCTTTGATCGGTTGCACGCGCGTATCAGCATCCGGCCGGACGGACCCTGCACTGCTGCCGCCAAACAAACCTGTGACCTTCGACGTGACGCTGTCCATAGAATCACTCACATTAGTAAAGGTTTTCTTCACGCTGTCGATTTGTTCGTTTATGTTTTTGGTAATTCCCTGAAATGGAGGCTCCTCTTTGAGAGCAACTTTAATGATTGATTCAGCGCCGGGAACATTTTTCTCAACCAGTTTACGGAACTCGTTGTCGTATCTGAAAATGCACGTGAAATGAAATAGCAGCCACAACGATGCCTTACTCTCTATTTTTTCTCTAGGAAACTCACTTGGCGTATGTTATAACGCCGCCGACTGCAGCCAGTGGTGTCACGATGAGCATCACTTTGCCAAAGCCAGCTTCGCGCATATGTGGTGGTAGGCCCTGACCATGCTGATGTCCATTGCTGCCCCCACTACCTCCACTGCTACTACTGCTGTTGTTATTGCTGTATTGCCTACCATTCTTCTGCTGCAACGTACGCTGGAATATAAGCAAACAAACGACTTGGTAACAACTCTAGGGTAGACATGGGCTTATTTAGCCACTGTTCGTCCACTTCGCATGATCATGTGCCACCCAATCACCCACAAATTTCCATTGGGCATTGCTTGCCATCCCTTAGGGCGCTCAAAACTGCTGGAATTTTGGAAATTTACGCATATTTCTTGCATTCGGTAGATGACATAACAATCGCACTTGTATATTTTTGCAATTGGATTTATTTGTGGGTGCGCGGGGGACACAGCGACGTCACGATTGATTTTCACGTTCCGCAGAACTTTGCGTGTTATCTCATTCAGTTACCTGCAACGCACACTTGCACTGATCTTTAAACGCTAGCCGATACATATTGTTGTCACAAAATTTTGTTAATTTAGTTAGCTAGGTGCCTGCTGCAGACGCTCCGTGTATTAACCGGCGGCGTGAATAGTTTTTTCCTACCCAATGCTTTTCTACGTTAAATACTGGCCTGGTTGGATGTCGCCGTCTGTTGTGACTGTCAAACGACGTCTGCTTCTGGTGCTTCTTCTTATTCCACATGCATACGTTAGTTTTGCATGCACTGGTCGAGATAAGAATGACGTTTGTGTGTGCAATTTCTAACGGCATAAATTCTTGTGAAATTTTAGAATTTGTGTTTACAAAAATTTCCCAAATATATATGTAGATATAAGTAATAGTGCCAGAAATTTGAATTTTAATATGCAATTGTGAATGGCAAGAGGCAGTCCCTGAACATGTGTTCTCTTCAAACAGCTGATGATTAAAGCTGTTACGCGACGACCAATAGGACAAGTGGCGGAATTTGTTAAAATTATTGATTTATTAATATAATAAAATGCTGCGTACATTAATAACCGGTGGTAAGTTGAGCTGATTTTAAAATAGTGCTGTTTTAAAATTAAGCATTTATGGTTTGCCTTTTAGCGCTTCGCAGTGTTTGCCGCACAACACCGGCTCTCCAACTTCCACATCGAGCTAGTTTTAGCCAATTGATAAGTTCACGAAGCTTAGAACTCAAATCAACTCTATTGCCTGCCACATCGCTTACCCCCAAGGCAATGCTAATACAGCTGCCAACGCTCGTTCCATCCCGTAATGTTACTAAGTTCTCCCTCATCAAGGGCAAACGTAAGACTGTTAAGGCGGTTCTGAAGCGCTTCAAGCGTCTGGACTGGGGTGCTTGGATCCGCACACACTCTGGGCGCAACAAGAAGTTGTTCAAAAAGTCTTCAGCTCTTAAACGCCGGTTACGGCAACATGTCTTTACCAATGCAACACAGAGCTGGCTTCTGGACAAGATGGTCACGAGCTATTGGCGCAGGCCAAAGCCCTACATCAACGATCCCTATGCGCCGTACCACCGCCGCGACGAATACTTTGCCACCAAATCGAAAGTATTTAAAGTATAACTCTTTTTATTTTGGTTAAATGCACTACGGTCGTTTCATATGTGAATAAAATTATTTAACAATTCATTGAAAATGGCTTTTAGGGTGCCACAACATTATTGGTTAACAGGCCGAGGCCTTCTATTTCGGTCTTGATAACATCGCCAGGTTTTAGGAATTCCGGTGGACTGCGATGAACGCCCACACCTTTGGGAGTACCGGTTAAGATGATGTCGCCAGGCAACAAGGTTATGAATCTATAGAACAAAAGCATAGCTAAGAAACATAATTTTTAATTGTCCGACAGCTGCTTACTGTGTGAGCCTGTTAATGACATCGTCGATCTTGTAGATCATATTGCCGGTGTTTCCGTTTTGCTTTTCCACGCCATTAATCCATGTCTTCAATGGCAAATCGTACACATCCTTTATGAGACTTTTATGAACAATTGCAGGGCCCAACGGAAGAAACGTATCCATGGATTTACCCAATAGGAATTGCCCTCCATTACGCTCCTTCTGCCAGTCCCGTGCTGAGATGTCTTGGGCGACAGAGTAGCCAAAAACATAATCCATGGCTTGCTCCCGCGGCACTTGGCGCGCTACCTTGCCAATAACCACAGCCAGCTCCACTTCCCAATCGATTTTCTACAAAAAAACACTTCTTATCTTATCTACAGATGTGGTGCCCTTCATTTGGCAACTTACGCTACTAGCGGCATGGGCTATTACGTTATCTCTTGGCCCGACAAGCGCATTGTTATATTTGCTGAAGAACATGGGTTCCTTGGGGGCAGGCTTATTCTGCTCATCACAATGATCCTGGTAGTTCAGACCAATGCAAATGATCTTACCTGGGTCTGTTAGGGGTGGTAGCAGAGTGACGTCATCGTTCAGAGGCACCTTGGGTAAATTTTGAGCCTTTGCTGCTATCTCTTCTATATTAGAAGTTTGGGAAATAAAAGTTTTTACATCATTTGTCACGCCCTCCAGCTCTGCCGACAGCTCCACCAATGACTTCCCATCTTCGGCAAGTAACCCCATGCGTTTGCAGAGGTCACCTTTCCGCAAATATTGCACGAAACGCATTCTGGCAGCTAACATTTATGACTGTTGACGAGTTGAGCTTCAATTGGCTCCACAAGTGCATAAATAATGGAGCTTTACGTAAAAGCGGGCGACTATCAATTGAAACGTATTTTCGAGCACTGCCTAACCGACAGTTTAGGGGGCACTGAATGGAATTTTTCTCCAGCTGTGACAATTGAAATTAATAACCGTTACAGTTTAGGAGTTCACAGTTTGAAATATGCATTTAACATTTATTAGCTTTTATAATCATTTTCGTGAGATATTACTATCATTGAACAGTGCAGCTAAATACATTAAGCACTTCATTTCAAATTTTAGAACATTATCAATAAATTAACCTGATCTCTTCAACTGAAATTCCTTATTCGCTACCTGCAGAAACTTTGCCATCGCCAGTGTTAAGCTTCTCGGATAACTCATATTTCCAACGCATGTATGTGACACGCATGCGATCCCAAACGTTATCAAAGGAATCCATGGCTGGGCGGACATCAAGTAAGGCGAATCGGTAATCTTTGTCCACAAGACCGCCATCATAGTAATCAATGACATAGCGGACATCCTTGCCACAGCGATCAACAATCCAGTCGTGACGATCAAAAGGCAACTCATAGCTGGAAAAGTAAAAGCGATTAAGAATGATTTCGACAGAACTCTAAATCTTAACCCAACCTACCCCAACAGGCTACGGAAACGAGCACGTGGACTGAAATCTTTAGCTTTGCCGCCAAAGCTTTTAAGGCGCGGATTACCGCACTCTTTGGCATGTAGCGCTTCCCATTTAAGTACCTCCTGCCAGGCCTGTTCATTGTTGGCATTGTGAATACGAATGATGTCACCCATATCCTTCTGGGAGACATCTTCCTTTTTCCAGCGCCAGCCCTTGCGTAGCATAGCGTTCCAGAACATCTGTTGACTTGGATATTGCCAGAACTGCACACTGCCATCCTCGGTGACCTTGGGAATGGTTGAGGTCTGACGATCCGTGGGCAAGGGGAAGGGCTGATCTGGTGCAGGTTGCTGGTTGGCTGGTGGCATCATGTTTAGCGGATTAACATCGCTATTGTCATGTTGTACTGGGCATTCGGAGGCCGATGACATTTTGGGATGTGGTGGAACAGCCGAGGCCGATTGTTTGTCCCCTTGATGTTTTTGATGCATTGGACACTCTGGTGGTGGCGAACCGGCCATTGCCATGTGCTTGGCATGATCAGCTGGCATGCTCTTGTTAGCCTCCAAATGTACATTGGTCAGTGCGGTGTTTCCCATTGTGCCAGGTTCTGAAACAAAGGGTTTTCCAAGAATGTGTGTCACGAGCCATTTCTCCCTGCGCCTTATTCTCAATTGCGTAATTGCTGCACTTGCAATTGCAAGCGACAGTTGGTAACTGAGAGGTAGGTGCTTACCTGAATTTGTTCCTTTTGCAATACAAAATGTGTTCTTATGTAAAATATATAAATTTCCAAGAGTTTTAATTGATATTAACAGCTCAGGCTCATTGTGAGGCTTATCGTCGTCCCAGAGTTCTTGGCGAGGTTACATGAGTTGACATCTTCATAAAGTCTGGCAACGCTGTTTTAGTGTTGACTATGACTGCAGATAATAGACGTTTACCACACTACCAGCCAATAGCCCATACTAATTTTGGGTAGTTTTCAGATTTTTGCAATAAAAGGTGAGTTGGTTGACTTTAACATATCATAGGCAGCTTCAAGTAAATTATTGGGAGTAGTTAATCGCACTTAAGACACATTTGGCAACTCAGCAGAAACAATAATTGTGATAAATTCCGGTGCTAACATCTACTGCTCTTACTCTGTGATGTAACCATTACCTGACAGAGCCACGGCTTATATTTTGTTTATATTTGCGAAAATTGAACAACTGATAATTAATACATTGTTCTTATAGCATGGCTGCCGTGTTCCGTGTCGGCCTCGTGCGGTTCGTCTGCCGCGGTGCCACCCCCTCAACTTTGCTGCAGGCACAGACGAACGCACTGCCCTCCGCCTTCATGCAAAAGTGCAACATCTCCGGCAAGACAATGCGCGGAGGTCCCCGCGTGCCCAAGGCAGCTCCCTATCCGTACAAGACGAAGAAATACACTGTCATAAATGCATTCTTTGACAAGACCTCAAAACGCTTTGATGAAAACTCGAAAGTCATATGCGTCGAGGGTCCGATAGCGGCAGGCAAGACAAAGTTTGCCAAAGAGTTGGCTGAGGAGTTGGACATGCAGTACTTTCCTGCTGTAGATATGGATCTTGTGTATATCAACTCCTATGGCTATGATTTGCGCAAACTCGATCCCCAGCTACCTCCCAGCTGCCGTAGCTACGATGTGCGTGATTTTTGCTGTGATCCCAATCACGACTTGGCCGCCCAGTTCCAGATACGCATGTATATGCTGCGCTATTCGCAGTACATTGATGCACTACAGCACGTACTGTCCACCGGCCAAGGCGTCGTGCTCGAGCGCAGTCCATATTCTGACTTTGTCTTCATGGAGGCGATGTTCCGTCAGGGCTACTTGTCTCGCGGCGCACGCTCTGTTTATAACGAGGTGCGTCAGAACACTATTGGTGAGCTGTTAAAGCCTCATCTTGTTGTTTATTTGGACCTACCCGTGGATGCAGTACAGCGGCAGATCAAGGCCCGCAATGTAGACTACGAAGTGCAGTCGAAGGTGTTCAGCGAGGCTTATCTCCGTGATCTTGAAACGCTCTACAAGCAGCAATTCCTCAAGGACATTGCTTCTCATGCTGAGCTTTTGATTTACGATTGGAGTGCTGGCGGCGAAACCGAGGTCGTGGTGGAGGATATCGAGCGCATCGATTTCGAGCAATACGAGTCGGATCCACACAACAAAAAGATGCTGGATTGGCGCTTCCCACTGGAGACCGAATGGTGTGAGGCACGTATCAAGTACTGCAATGAGAAGCCCGACTTGATGAACTACTTCAATGTACCACGCTATGATGTGCCTGAGCTACTGCGTGGCGCCGATGAAGGCAAAGTGTGGCGTGATGTTTGGTTTAATGTGAGTAACATGGATATTGTTAAGCAGATTACTATTCTAACTTTTACCTTAACAGGCACCCGGTATGAAATATCGCCCTGGTTACAACGAAGATGTTGGCGATACTGGCCTCTTGACCAAAACCAAGATTGGTATCAACGAGCCTGTCTAGGGTGTTGTACGTAGTCAGGATGTTTGACGAATTGTGTTAATTATCTAATAAAAAAAACCAATCTAGTAAATTAATGTAATGTCGCTCACACATGTGCATAATTTCGTATAATTCATGCATATTGTTTGATTATTTTGTACAATTATTTAGCACTTGTTAGCGGAACATTTGATATTTGTTCTCAATCGCTATCATAATCATTTTTACCACCCCCAACAGATGTTAGGGGACGTCTTGATTCCTCGTCTGAGCCATATACCACTTCTTCGTCGGAATCGTTAATCATTGAAAACGCTGGATTATCCTTTGTGACGGCCAATTCGGCCTGGGCAAAGCGTTCATTCGGAGAATACACATAAGCACATGTGTACAGATAAAAGTTCAACAGACCATAAAAGCACATAAACTGTGCTGAACTCTGGTAGGTGGTATTCAGTGAGGCGACAAAGTTGTCCTCCAATATGCCGAACCCAAAACGACAAACGGTGACTGTTATGGATATGGACAATACAAAAAGCATAAGCAGTGTTAAAAATTTCAGGCGCATATCTGAAAAAAAATTAAGAAACAATTATGAAAATTTTCAAAATCTCCGATATTATAAGTAACGCACCAAAGTAAGGCATGAATCGCAGTTCCGTATAGGCACGAAGAACCAACAATGCCAGATATAGCACGTACATGCAGCACGCAATGTAAAAGAATATTTGAAAGCTCTGTAAGGGAGAAAAACCATTAGTACACCTCAAATATTGTGGTTCATAAAATACAAAATAATTGCTTTTCTTCTCCACTCTGTGCGGATGGACTCTAAACTGATTTTCAATGAAAGTTTTCGTGATAACTTAGCGCTGAGCTGAAGTTTATTAAAAGTTGTGGTAAAGTTATTAAACATACATATAAACTCATAATTTTTATAAGAACAGAGCCCAGGTGGTTTTGGAATACCACCTTTTGAATTAATGTTGCTACTCACATTGTAGTTTTTGGTATCCACAAAATGGCTATATGTAGGATCCTTCAGTTCGTTGCATTTTTCCCAAGTAGCCAGGACAATGGCGCACAGCCAAATGGGCAGGATGACAATAACTTTTATCAAATAGAAGCGCACAAAGCGGCGTTCGTTCTGTCGCAGGCCATGGTAGATGCACAGCCAGAACATGAGCAAGGCGCATAGGAATGTGGCCTGGAGAACGCCATCCAGCATGCCCGGTAACCAGCTGTTCATCATAAAAACCAGTGGAAAGAAGGGATCTTTAACAGAAAGAAGCTTTTAAATGACAAATGCTCATGGGAAGACAAATAAATCTTACTATCATAAAGGAATAACAATGGCAACAATATGGACAGCCATTTTTGCTCGATCGACCAATCGTAAATAGGATATTTCCTCAAGGAGTGTGCGTACCAACACTGAATGTTAAAGAATACCATTAATTGAGTCCATATAAATAAATCATTGTTTTACTTACGATCACGATGAAGGTGAAGAGCAGAAAAATGAATCTAAACCATATCTCGATTTGTGTGAATTCCGGACTGTATGTCTTAAACTGTAAATGAAACGTTAAATTATTTTTTAGATCGGCAAATATGTATTATAACCAAGATCCTAAGCAACATTTAAAAATTATATAATAACGTCTTACACACACAACTGCCTTTTGTGGTCAGACAGATAAAAAACACTACCAAAAATTGTAAATAGAAGAGGAGAACTTCATATATGGAAAACATTTAACAAAACTCAAGAATATCTACTTTTCACCTTTTAATTCAATTGTGTACTAAAATCAATTAGATTTCAAAATTATAAACTTTGGCGATTTCAAAGATCTAATATATTATTTTCAAAAATGTTATCTAACCGTTTGGGATCTAAAATGCTAGAAGCAAATTCAATAATTTACTTTGGGAAATAATATCTAAATAGGAAGTTAGTAAGGATCTGTGGTACAATGTCATTAAAAGCTCAGATAGTTTTAGTTTACGATTTTTAAATGTACTCACATAGAAAGTAATGCCCTTTATATTATACTTTTGGTGGAAAGACTCCAGTCCAAGGAAACGCACTGTGATAATGTAATGGGCATAGTCCAGAAATCCAAGGTGCATAACAGTAAACTCTTCACAATCGTTGCGCACGCAGACCAAGTGTCGAGTGCGATTATGTGCTATCCCTGCTCCCAGGACGCTCAGTGGCTTGTGCTCATCATCAATCCCATCTATAGAGACGCTGATGTGAAAGCTTTTGTCGTAGCGCTCATCTAGAAACTCCAATAATTGATTATTATGCTACGTTATAGAGAAGGTGGAGGGAATAGAATACCCACCATCGTTGTTTTCTGTGACCAGCTTTGCTATCAGCCAGAGTTGTTGAGAATAGGTAGTCATTAGTGGGGATTTCATGGCAAATGGACCTGTTGCCAGGACTTTTTTACTCTGGGCCAAAGTTGTATTGGCTAGAATTTGCTTGGCCGTTATTTGAGCTGTGCTCGTGATCGGCGGTCCTGTCAGTCCAATAATGATGCCTAGGCTGAAGCAGGTAAGGAAGCCGAGAAACACCATCATGAATTCTCGCTTGGACATGGAATAGAGACGCATGTGAACGGAGCGCTCACAACGGTCGTGATGATATGCGGGTGCTATGTATTTGTTAAATTCGCTGAACAAATCGCTGAAATGGGAGAGCGAATTCTTCAGGCGTAGTAGCAGACCACCCGACGGCAAATGGTAGGCATAGCCCAGGCCAGCAGCATCTGTGGCATCTTTTGTCATGATGCTGGAAAGTCGTATTTCCTTTAATCCTAAGTTTTGGACGCACTGGCAAACGTAAGTCGTTATTTCATATTTTGAACAGCACTATAATTTCTTACAGGCACGAGTGCGCGTAATTGTTCATATTTTACCAAAAACTATTGAATAAAGATTCGGCGCAATTTTTCCTGTCTGCCTTTTTTACTTTCAAGGAAAATATCGATTTTGGCTCACATATGTTTGACTCCCTTGTGGGGGTGTGCGACGCTGACTGCATTGGCCTGTTTGACAGTTTGACATGCACTACGCATGCGTGCTGTTATCAGCTGTGCTTCTCAAACGTAAACAAATACGCAGATAATTGTAAATAGCTTTTATTTATACACTTGTTCGCTTAATATTAATTACATTTTACATATATGCTGCGGCATTTAGTCCCAATATTTTATCTGACCATCCCAGCCGGCTGTTACCAGTTTGCTGGCCTCATGCGGATGCCACAGAGTGCTGATGCAGACACCATCGTGTGCTTGCCACTTTTTGTACAACTTCGTCGTCTTCCAGTCCCAGATATAGCATTTTCCATCACCATCACCCGATACTAAATAGCTCATATCGGGAGAGAAGTCTAGCTGGCATGCATAGCCCGAGACCATGTGGCCCGTGAAAGTCTTTTTGCGATTCATCTTGAACCGATTCAATGCGGAGAAAATTACGATTTTGTTATCTAGTGATTGACAAGCCATCCATTTGCCATTTGGCGCCAGTGTGACTGCGGGCATGGAATGCATAGTAGGATCAGCTATATATTTCATATCAACGGGTATGTCCCATTCCCAAATACGCATCGATTTGTCGTCCGAGGTTGTGACAAACCGACGATTGTCATCAACAAATGTGATGGTGCTTACGGATCCTAAATGCCTGTCGTATTCCTGCACAATATCGCCGCTCCGAGTGTCCCACTGCAAAGGAATAAGTTTATAAACAACTGATTACAAACTGAGTCCAAATACTTACGCATATGATCTTTTTGTCCGATGTGCCAGCTACAAACAAATGTTGTTTACTATTGTCCGGATGAAATTTAACACAGAAAGGCATTTTGCGTGTGGTAAAACGTGAGATAACATCGCCCGTTTCCGCATCCCAAAGCTTTATGTAACGATCATAAGAGGCAGACAAGAATTGTGTACCCCTGTTGTTCCAAGCAATGTCCTTAATGGCCTGACGATGACCAGAGAACGTGCGTATGCAGCGTCGATCACCATAAACCTCCCACAGTTTGACACGACAATCCATGGAACCGGAGAGCAGTAAATGGGCAGTTCTGGGAAACCACCGTACAGAAGAGATACCCTTGTTGTGACCCGTCCAAGTGTGTATGTGTGCCTTGGGCAGAAAACATTTTGGTGGCGGTGCATTCGAACGTAAATTGACGCCCAAATCGTGTGGAGCATGCAGATATGAACGTCCCTGGTAATCGTAGGCATCTTTGACTGCAAAAGGCATAGGAAGAACGCTAGTAATGCAAATAAAAAGTGAACTATTTTTCGAGACTTACTATGCAGTGTGGACTTCTCCTCGAGTGGCTTGTCCTCTGGTATGCGTCCGCGTTTGTGTCGCTTTGACAGCAGCTCATCAAGCTCAGCACGTTCCTGCTCATTAGGACGCGCTATGCTCAATTCGTTCTCAAACTTGCCCCAGGGGCCGAGGAAGCCCTCAACATCTTCGGGATTGTCGTTCTTCTCTTGCTTGCGCATTTTCTTTGCCTTTGGTGGTTCAAATACTGTCTTACCATTGTCATCGTAGGCGGATTGCAAATCACCGACAAACGACTGTCCATCGGCAGTCTCGTCCACTGTGGGGTCTAAGGCATAGCCATATGTGTGGAACGTGCGTCGTTGATTCTCAAACTCAAATGCGTTAATGTGCGCCTTCTCCACATATCCAGCCAGAGTGTTTCGTGGCGCCCGCTGTTGCATGGTCATGTTTGGATGCTCCGGTCCCTTCACAGGCGCATACATTTCATCGAACTTGGGATTGTAGGTAACCTCCTTAAGCGTTGGATCCAGTGTACGCGGCACGGCCGCCGCTCCTATGGGCACAACCTCGGGCGCCGCAACAATGGCCAATGATTTTGATAGAGAATGTTTTGTGTCCAGCGGTTTCAAATGAGCAGGCTCTTCTTTCTCTCGCCCTCTCTGCTCGTTGTCCGACTCGCCTTCGGACGAACTACCATATGTTTGCAAGCCAAGCATCCTTAACTATAGTCCGCGGACGAATGCTGTGTATTTGTTGACGAAATATTGCAAATAGCTAACAACTAAAGTGTAGAGCACAAAAACGAAAACGTTTATTGAGATTTCCATTAAAGTGTGCTGCCACACGAAACAGACAGGTTTATTTTGAAGGAATTAATTACACAGTAAATGGTCCACCTCAACACATTTAGAGTAGCGCGCACTCAAACCAAAAACAATGCTGATTCCTCCTGTTTCTGCCTTTTTGCTAGATAAGCATTTTTTATTAGTTTTGCTTAAAAGTTGCCACCACGTTTACCGTATTCATTTGGACTATCGATTCTTTATCGATATCAAACAGCTGCTCACAATGCTTACGTCTCCGTGTGAACGGTTAATTTAGCTTGCAACACGTGCGCGGAACTTGGATATTGGGGAAAAATATCAGTGAATTTTTATATTAAAAAGAATAGTTTCTAAAAAGTAAAATGCCGTCAAGGGAAAAGCTCTTGATGCAAAAAATTGCCAAGCGTGAAAAAATGAAAAAGCAACTATCGCAAAAGAAGGGCAAAGGAACGCCGGATTCAGTGGCCATCAAACAACAAGGAAAGCCAAACCAACAGAAGCTGGCGCCGAAAGGTAAAAAAGCAGGTATGTTGTTATTGGGTGGGGAAGATATTTGGATGCCCGAGAATTCTTAATATTGTTGTGTATTCCGCAGACTTACAATCAGAGCTGCAGCCACAGCGAACAAAGAAACAACTGCACCAAAAGAAGCCCCCAACGAGAATTGCAATGGCTAACTCTGAATCGGATTCCGACTCTAAGGAGGAAGGAGAGGAAGTCACTTACAGTAGTGAAGAAGAAGACTTTGAAATGGGCAATGCAGGTTGGTAAATGCATCAAATTCCCGTCTTTAATGTGATGGTGATGATATAAAGGCGAATTCGATTAGATCAAGGAGCGAGTTATTGCTGCTTGATGCCGACATGAGATTAAAAAATATAAATATTCTGAATATACTATTATATATAATTTTATCATTAAGCAAGACAGTTACTTATACAACGAAATTATGATTATAGCTGATCCATCTAACTCCCATGAAAGTGATGACGATGAAAGCGAAGAAGAAATTGAATCCGTGCCGGCCAAAAAGTCAAAGCTGGGTTCGACTGCATCCAAGACGAAAGTAGCAAAGGAACCCACAAAAAATGGCAAAGCTTCCCGTTCCGACTTACAAGAGAAGAATCAACCGAAAAGTAAACATCCGCTGAACAAAAAGCAATCGCAAATTTCTGTGGCCAACTCAGATTCGGATACAGATTCGAATGAAGAGGAAGCGGACTTCGATAACGATGAAGACGATGATGATTCTGAAGATGAAGTTGGTAGCGAGGTAGAAGATGAAAGCGAGCCTACGTCGGCCAAGAAATCAAAGTCAGAATTGACCATGTCCAAAGCAAAGGAAACAAAAGCGCCTATAACAAATGGTAACGTCGTTTCCGATGATACGCCATTCACTGTGGAGTCTTCCTTGGCTGCATTGGACCAACGCGACCCCGAAGACAGATCATTTAGTTCACTGAAAGGCGCAGTTTCGGAAGCCACGCTGCGCGCCATTTCCGAAATGGGCTTCACTGAAATGACCGAAATTCAAGCAAAATCCTTGACGCCATTGCTTAAGGGTCGCGATTTGGTGGGTGCTGCACAAACGGGTTCGGGCAAGACACTTGCTTTCCTCATACCTGCTGTAGAGCTGATCAACAAACTCCGATTTATGCCGCGCAATGGCACAGGCGTCATCATAATTTCGCCCACACGTGAATTGTCCATGCAGACGTTTGGTGTGCTCAAGGAATTGATGACGCATCATCACCATACCTATGGTTTGGTCATGGGTGGATCGAATCGCCAGGTGGAGAGCGAAAAACTAGGCAGGGGCATTAACATCTTGGTGGCTACTCCAGGTCGCCTTTTGGATCATTTACAGAATTCGCCAGATTTTCTATACAAGAACCTGCAGTGCCTCATTATCGATGAGGTGGATAGAATACTGGAAATTGGTTTTGAAGAGGAACTCAAGCAGATCATCAATCTGCTACCTAGTAAGTGTAGTCCCGATTACAATGACTGAAACATTTCGATTCGCTAAACATTCCTTTCCTTTTCTAGAACGACGTCAGACAATGCTTTTTTCGGCCACACAGACGGCACGCATTGATGCCTTATCTAAGCTGGCGTTGAAAAAGGAACCGCATTATGTAGGTGTGCATGATAATCAGGAGACCGCCACTGTGGACGGACTGGAGCAGGGCTACATTGTGTGTCCCTCAGACAAACGGCTCCTCGTGCTCTTTACATTTTTGAAAAAGAATCGCAAGAAGAAGGTCATGGTTTTCTTTTCATCCTGCATGTCTGTCAAGTATCACCACGAGCTGTTTAATTACATCGACCTGCCTGTCACCTCAATACATGGCAAACAGAAGCAAACGAAACGCACCACAACATTCTTCCAATTCTGTAATGCCGAAGCAGGTATCCTGCTCTGCACGGATGTGGCTGCTCGTGGACTCGACATACCACAGGTAGATTGGATTGTGCAATACGATCCACCAGATGATCCGCGCGAATACATCCATCGTGTGGGTCGTACGGCACGTGGCTCCGGGAATTCCGGACATGCTTTGTTAATGCTCCGACCGGAGGAGTTGGGCTTTCTGCGCTATTTGAAGGCCGCGAAGGTGCCTTTGAATGAGTTTGAGTTCTCGTGGCAAAAAATTGCTGACATACAGTTGCAGGTAAGTAAAATATTAGGACATATTCCACATCTCCGGGCTAATTTTTTACCTTCTCTGCAGCTGGAGAAGCTCATTTCGAAGAACTACTTCCTCAATCAATCTGCAAAGGAGGCATTTAAGTCGTATGTACGTGCCTACGACTCCCATCAGCTAAAACAGATATTCAATGTGAACACACTGGACTTGCAAACGGTAGCTAAGAGTTTTGGCTTTTTGGTGCCACCTGTGGTTGACCTCAAAGTGGGCGCGGCCAAGCGACAGCGTCCAGAGAAACGTGTCGGTGGCGGCGGTTTTGGTTACTACAAAAAAATGAACGAAGAGACAACAAAGCAGCGTACTTTTAAGCAGGTTAATCGTGAACAGGCCATTAAGAAGAAGTTTATGCGCTAACTGTAGGTTCCGCAATTCCTTCTCCATACATTCGAATTAAATCGGATCGGAAACAAACAGGAGATACCAAGTTTTGCTTCCCATTCGGTTGTATTCGAAGAGACAATGTAAATTCAATATTATGTAGAAATAAAAAGCATAAACCTAAACTTAAACACGGTCTTTATTTACAAGGTTTTGATTTGACACGGTTTGAAAATTAAAAATGTTATACATGGTTACACGACTTTATTCCATTTAGCACGATTTATTTTGCTTATGATCAATGTCTTTTTTTATACGGTTTTTTTCTACAGGACTGTTTTGGGAACCTACCGTGTAAAACAGAATAAGGTGTATTCCAAAATTTACATTTAACAAACTAAAAACAAGAGAGATCGCTACTGACTGTACTCTCCACAAAAAAAGGAAACTAAAAAAATATATATTAAAAAAATTAAATTAATTAAATACAAAATATTCAATACATATGTACAGTTTCAATAGCATATATTTTACATCTTCGTGTCTATGCGTGTTCATATGCGTGTATTTATGCAGTACAGGAAAAAGCCAAGGCAACAACAACTGCGGATAGAGCTATGTATGTGCAGAGTTACAAGCAGAGCATAGGCAGCGATTATTTATGGCTATAACTTTCTTCATAATTGACCTATCACGTATTGGCAAACGGACTCATAATCACTAAGTGGAGGTATTTACTACATTTCAGTACAAAATTGCAGAAGTTATGGGGAAAAACATGAATTGCGGAGGAGTGGGGGGTGTATCGAAAAATAAACTCAAACTCGTACTTTATCGGTCTTAGGAGAATCTGGATACCAAGTTGGGTTATTCTAGCTCTTGTACTTTCTGAGATCCTTGCGTTCATACAGACGGATATGGCTATAGCGACTCGGTTTGTCCTTTCACCCTTTTGGGTACAGGGTATAAAAATAGCCAACTTTAGCTGCTCTTGTCTATGCTAGTGTGGTGTAGAGAGTTTACTCAAAGAATTACATTAATGGCTATAACTAAAAACAACTGAAATAAGAAGCACCTGATACATAATTTGGTGCTGCTAGCTCTTATACTTATGATCCTTCCTTTCAACGGACAGACTGAAAGACATGGCTATATAGTGTAGTGTGCATACATAAGGAGTACACACTGTACGCAGTGCACTCTTAAGAACATACACTGTAACACTTTATTGCAGTGAATAAATTAATTCAAAAAGCCAAGCATAATTCGGACGCGATGTAATATGATCGCACATGCATTGGGCGACATAAGTGCAGCGTCAGTGCAACTAGTGTCAGCCACCTCAAGTGCACATAACATTCTCCCTCGCGCTCTCGCTGCCAACAGCGCTGAGTACAAATACATAAGTAAAATACATAATGCGGCCGCTCCGCTGCCGGCGTCTCTGGCAGCGCAGCTACGAGGCCTTAGCTAAGTTCATTTTAAGTAAAATGTAAGAAATCAGTATAAGTTCAAGTTTTAAGATTGAGTGTCATAAAAGTTAATAAATAATTAATAAAAACTCATAATAAAAAGTACGTATGTTATTACATGGCGACCATGACAGTGTCCTACATAGGACCGTGATAGTGGTCCTGGAGGACCAAGGACAGAGGAGCTGATATACCATAAAAACGACCATAATAACGGCAGGAGGACAACTTTAAAATTCGGAAGACGGAGCTTGGCATGGACATCAACACAATAAAAATACTGAGTGAGTAGAGTGCGCGAGTGATGGGTAAACGCGGAGGTGTGCACAATAAAATTAATAAGAGAATAGCACATTTAAAGTGGCTTTTATTCTCAACTGCAACACCACCCGCGTGGACAACGGCCCAAAAATTGCAGGCAGAACTTGACTATTTAAAGTCAATAAGCAAAAATGCGAAACCCGACTCCGCAACTCGCTCCACTCGTATTGAAAATATAAATAAACGTGAAATAATTTTACCGCCTTCACCCAAGCAACTGCCAAGGAACGCAAAAAGCTGCCCAACGGACTGCGAGGGACCATTGCACACCCCACACTGCGAGTACACGTGCCGCCACTGCACGATACGCAATTAGGAGCAGTAAGTGTGAAAGGCATAGGACCGCCTTTTGCACCACCGCTGGAAAAACGCCGACGACAACTGTAAGTGCGGGAGGCAGGCCGCCCCTTGCACCAACGAGGGAGCATCAGCGTGCCACACCGGCGACGCCCAGCTGATGCGGGAATACACCACATCAAATAGCGACAAGTGCGGGAGGCAAACCACCACCAGCGACAACGAGGGAGCATCAGCGTGCCACACCGGCGACGTCCAGCTGATGCGGACGCCACAAGACGACAATCCCAAAAAGGGACACCAGAGGAAAATTTAATGATTAAGCAAAGATAAAAACTTATAATGCAAAATTTGTAATGCATATTTAAGTTAAAATATATATATGTAAGAAAAATTGTAAAAAAAATAGCCAATAAGAAAATTGTAAAATAATTAATAAGGAAAATTGTAAAATTGAGCGGAATCTTTTCTGCCCGATTAGAAGTACAGCCCGTAAAGCTGTACGAACAAATAGGCAGGAAAATTGTCAATCTTTTAATAGTATGAATGAGGAGCAATAGTATAAGTAAGATAGATCAGATAGAAATATATAAGCCATATAAAAGTGGCATAGTTACCGATAAAATAAGTAATATACCCAAAATGGGTTTGATAGACACTAAGGTAGTAGATTCCACTGCAGGAATTGTCAATAAGGTGGAATCACAGAAAGTAGATGTAGAAATGATAAATATCCTGTTGGTAGTAATCGTTGTGTTAATGAGTGCGAATTTGTTTTTTAAGCTGTATAAGCTACACAATAAATGCCTAAAAAAAAGAATTCTGAGTAAGGCAAATGACTTAGATAAAATATAAAAAAATATACAGCGATTACTGCCAGCAGCAAAAAAAAATTATTAATAAATAAATATAAATAAAAAAAGGACATTTTTCACCAATGTAAAATTATAATATCAGGTATGCCCAAGAGTGGAAAGAAATCCACACCTAGGTAGAACCAACCACTATGCACAATGGGTAGATGACCAGGACAATAGATTTAAACAGTAAATAATAATTATGAAATATAGGAATAGAATAGAAGAAACATAAATAAATAAAAATTAATAAATAATAAATAAAACATAAAAATTAAAAGTAAAAAAAAAGAAAGGGTGTTCAACTTAATTACCTAGGAGTCCAATGAAAAAAAAATCTTGCTGAGCATCAAAATTATCCATAATACATGGACTGGAATGCTATATGCGGGAGAGTGCAAGAGCTGAGAGCTGAATTTGATAAATCATACAAAAGCCTCACTCAAAATAGGCCAATACAGATTGGTACATTGAATAAGCACACCATCAAATTGGTGCATTATTATAACGAGATCCGAGAGATATTCCTAGAAAACAAACCTAGGCTCACGGATCTCCATTGGACTCAGGCTTCAGACGTTGTCAAACGTCTAAGAGAACAGCTGCTCGCTGTTAGGGAAAGACATGGCTTGGATATACACTTGCCAAATGTCATAAGTAGCGCGGCGACATATATAGCTGTGGACGAAGATGAAGTAATGTCTATAAGTCCCAGGTCAAAATCGCCAAATACGGCATATGTCAGCATAATTTCGGAAGAAGATTCCAAAAGCGGACTTACTCCCAATAACAGCCCCGCAAGAAGCGAACCGGCTGACAGCCTCAACGCAATAGTAAACAGCCCGCAGTTGCGAAAAATGTCGCAGACACAGATACAATTCTTAAAAACGGCGTCATCTCTGATACCGGAGTTTGATGGCAAAGCCGAAAATTTGAGAAGCTTCTTGGACGCGTTGCAGTTGGTGGACTCAATTAAAGAGACACACGAGTCAACGGCAGTCCAATTAATAAAAACAAAGCTCAAAGGCAACGCACGCAATTTAATTAGCACTGAGAACTCAATTGCTGAAATTGTTTGCAAACTTTCTGCCACTGTAAAAGGTGACTCAGTTGAGGTTATTACAGCCAAACTGATGAACCTTCAACAGAAGAGCAAGACGGCTAATCAGTATACCCAAGAGGTAGAAAAACTGACAAAGTCTCTAGAGAGTGCATACATAAACGATGGACTTTCATTGGAGATAGCCGCTAAATACAGTACGCAACATGCTGTAAAATCAATGATGAAGAATTGTAACATTGACAGGGTAAAGCTGGTAATGGAGGCCGGCCAATTCAACAATATGAATGAGGCTGTCTCCAAGTTTGTCAATAGTTGTACCGATGCAACTGGACGAACAGATACAATTTTGTATTATAAAAACCAGCAAATAGACAGACGCTTCAGTAATAATCATAGAGCCAGAGGTAATAATAACCATCGCGTTGGAAATAGCTATCGTGGTGGAAATAACTATCGCGGTGGAAATAACTATCGCGGTGGAAATAACTATCGCGGTGGAGATAACCATCGTGGTGGTAGAAACTACCAGAATGGCTACCAACGAAATAACAGCAATTATAACCAAGTCCGACTGGTGCAAACCACGTCGGAAAACCAGTAAAAACCCTTGGGATAAAGAAAACTGTGGAACAAACGGTTCACGCAATAAACCTTAATTTCAATCTTTATGTTACACTAAAAAATGAAGCAACACATAAGTTGTACACATTGCTGGTTGATACAGGTGCAGATGTGTCTTTAATAAAGGAAGATACGGACTCGTTTGATAACGTCAATTATAATAATATTACTCAATTGTCCGGTATAGGTGAGGGAACAACCAATTCCAAAGGATCGGCAATGATAGAACTCCTATCAACATGCTATGCCATCCCTCATGACTTTCATATAGTAGATTCAGACTTTCCGCTTCCATGTAATGGAATAATAGGTATAGATTTTATGAAGAAATATAATTGTCAAATAGACTTAAATCAGGAGAGTGATTGGCTCATACTGAGACCTAATAATATTGATCACTCAATAAAAATCCCAATACATCATACACTTCAAAATAGTTACACAATTTTGCCAGCAAGATCCGAAGTCGTCCGAAAAATTTCCATAAATACTACAAGCAAGTATATATTCATACCAAATCAAGAAATTCAAAACGGAGTATACATTGGGAACTCCATTGC